CCCCCGAGAAAATTGGAATGAGAAAAAGAAATGGTTCGCAAGTCTTGTGTCCCCTTTGTCTGTCTTTTGCCCTTTGCTTTGTGAGTAGTCTGAAAGGTGAAGCCTGCATAGCATTGTCTATAATGTCGATGCTGGAGCATTTAAATGTTTGTAGGCTTTATTTTGTTCAACCTTTAGATTACGCTTGCCTGCCCATGCCCTAGCATCTCTCTCATAGTACTAGCCCTAAGCAGCGCTGACCTTAGAATGGACTTTCAATGGCCATCTATCCAAAGCAAGCTTTACCTTTGTATAGTTAGCCTGGACCTCTTATAGATCCCCTTTGATGCTAGCATTTGCCTTCCATACTCATTTACTTATACTCTTAGTGAACATTCTTATCATTCGCATCTTAGTCTAACTTTAAGTTTGGGGGCGTGCTAGAGCATTACATTCTAGATATCCTTAGCTGCATTGAGGATAATGCAACCTTTTAAGTTTGGGGGAGTGAACCTTCAGTTCTTATATCTCTAGAAGTTAAATTGTATTGGCCATGAATCTTTCTAATTTTGTAATTCAGCCCAATTACTAAAAAAAAAAAAAACCAATAAAGGAGGGGCTAGTAGCCTTCATCCGTAAGTATAAAGAGGCTGCAGGATTAGGAAAGGCTACTAGCCCATGGTTAAAGAAGCCCAAGTTGGTAGTACAAAGGTCAAATGTCTAGGCTATTGATAGAGGCTTGATGAATGAATCGCCAGGGTATAAGTAAATAAAGCTGTTTATATTTCTTCAATCTTGCGTAACATTGTTGGCCGCTATGTTGTGTTTGCTAGATTCTGTATTGACCCAGGAGAGCTTATGGGTGCTGACTTGTATTATTTGTGATTAATGCTTTTCTATAGCTTTAGGGATACTCAGGAATGGGGTCACCTAATCATTCCTACAGATTGTGTTTATTGCTTGGGTATTTAGCAACGAAAGTTGTACTTACTCATCTTTGGGGTGTCTCGGAAGGGAACCGAGTCGCGGTGGACACTAATAGATGTTAGTGAGCTAGAGGGTAGGTTGATAACTGGTGAAAGTATGCTGAATCTCCCCCTATTTCCCCATATCTGTTAACCTCTCATTTGCATTCTATCCTAAAGCATTTCTTTGCCCCAGCATTTGTTATTACAGTATTTATCTCTTGGATTTCATTTCTCCATTTTTATGGTATTTGACTTAGTTTAATTAAACAACCACTATTATCTTTTATTTGCATTTTTTGGTATTTTAAGTACACGCTTAGAGTAACATCCTTAGTCCCTGTGGATACGACCTTGTTTATACTACAATCGGCGAGAATAATGTACACTTGAACTTGCATTCGCATCGGTTGTGAACACGCAACAACTCTCCATTGAGTTGGATGTACTTGATGCTGGTTTTGCTCCTGCTGCTAGTTGGGCACTAAAAAACCAGGCGGAAAATTTTCCTTCTACTAAAACTGATTGGCATTTTGTTGCATTTGGTTTCCCTGATTTCCACTCCAAACTGAAATTAGGATGTCGCCTCCAACCTGAATTGTAAGTGTTTGAATAGGGATTGTTTCTATTAGGATTTCCTAAATAAAACGCATAGGCCAAGGTTTCTTAACATTATTTTTAGTATTTTGATTATTTGACCAAAAAAAAAAAACATCATAAACTCTTGCTAAAGCTACTATGGACATTAAAATTAATAAGAATTATGAATTAAATCTATAGTTTCGCTAATTGTCACATATTACATTTTCGAGATCCACAAACATATACATGCATAAATCTCGAAAGGGGGTCATTTGTTGAACGATAAGTATTGGCCAATTAGTAAATGCAACATCACAAATTTAAAATTACATTTAGGACAAATCATAAAATTACACGTGTCGTAAATGAAAGGA